TCCGTGGGCGGGGGGATTATACAAAGTGGGGAAAAAAAAATATAAATAATTGCTCATTCATGAGCTTTGCCTCATGTTTCAGCACGGTGCCAAGCCCGGCACGGCAAAGCATCGGCCCTTGCGGGCTCCGGTCCAGCTGCCCGCGGGGAGGGACGGCCGCGCCGCGGAGCTCGGCCCCTGCTCACATTATTATCCAGTACCAGGAGACCGTGTAATCTTCAAAGATCTTCATGGCCAGCTGCCTGGTTTCCAGCACCACGTTTGCTTTTCTGCCACACAAAACAGAAACCACGGATGAAGCCGAACGCCGGGGAGGGCGGAAAGAAGCCGAGGAGCTTCCACCTGGGCTCAGCCCGGCGAGGCTCAGCCCGCGCCCGCCACCCTGCCTCAACGGCCCCTTGTCCCCCCCAAAACCAAGAAGATCCAACGCGGGTGAGCCCCGTTTCCTTCACGCTGCTTCCCCTCTCATCCCCCCCTTCCAGCTCCCGTTTCAAACACGGGACACGGGTTTTGGTGCTGGATTTCACCAGACCAGGGCTCCAAGCTGAGGCTTTCAAGGCTCTGCCGTGGTATAAACCAGTAAACAGACGTGGCACAGAAGTGCCGGCAGATAAATCCGTTCGTTTCTGAAGCCGTAACAACGAAGCAGCTCATTGAGAGGCTCCCCCGGGCACGGCGACATCCCCGCCCCGTCGTTTATCACCGCGAGCCCTCGCTCCTGGGACCACCCCGGCGAAGACAAAGCGACCATCGAACCGCGGCGGCTCCGGGGACTCACTTGGCCCCTTCCAGCAGCTCGGTGACGTTCCTCCGTTGCCCGTGGCCATCTTCGTAGGTGGTTTCGTTGCCGACCATGATGACGCCCTTCTTAGCCTGGATGGCCGGGAAGCATCGCCGCGCCACTGGGCGAGAGGAGGGGGAAAACTCAGCGTCGCTCTCATCCCACCGCCCCGGGGCAACGAGGCAAAACCCCCTCCCCGTGGTCACAAACCTATGCTGGACCCCCAGAAACCCCAACCCCCCCAAAATACCCCGAGAGCCAGCCTGGGGAGCGTGCGCTTCCCCCTCGCTATCCCCTCGTACGTACGTGGGGTGCTGGGGATAATCATGGCCGGGCACTCCCTGTCCTTCAGCACCTTGACGGGAGACTGGATGGGGACCGACGAGCCGGACGGTAACGATTGGGG